CACATACAGTCCACCGGCACAGGTACAACCTAGAACAAAGGCAACAAACATAAAGATACAGTCCACTCGTACAGGTACAACCAGATACAGTCCACTGGTACAGGTAAAACCTAGAACAAAGGCAATGAACATTCAGATACAGACCACTGGCACAGGTACAACCTAGAACGAAGGCAATGAACATACAAACTAGAGCATATGCAATGAACATACACATACAGTCCACTGGCACAGGAACAACCTAGAACAAAGGCAATGAACATACAGAGACAGTTTACTCGTGCAGGTACAACCTAGAACAAAGGCAATCAACATACAGATACAGTTTATTCGTACAGGTACAACCTAGAACGAAGGCAACAAACATACAGATACAGTCAACTCGTACAGGTACAACCTAGAACAGAGGCAATAAACATACAGATACAGTCCACTGGTACAGTTACAACCTAGAACAAAGGCAATGAACATAAAGATACAGTACACTCGTACAGGTACAACCTAGAACAAAGGCAATAAACATACAGATACAGTCCACTGGCACAGGAACAACCTAGAACAAAGGCAATGAACATAAAGATACAGTACACTCGTACAGGTACAACCTAGAACAGAGGCAATAAACATACAGATACAGTCCACTGGCACAGGAACAACCTAGAACAAAGGCAATGAACATTCAGATACAGACCACTGGCACAGGTACAACCTAGAACAAAGGCAACAAACATACAGATACAGGCCACTCGTACAGGTACAACCTAGAACAAAGGCAGAACAAAGGCAATAAACATACACATACAGTCCACCGGCACAGGTACAACCTAGAACAAAGGCAGAACAAAGGCAATAAACATACACATACAGTCCACCGGCACAGGTACAACCTAGAACAAAGGCAATAAACATACACATACAGTCCACTGGCACAGGTACAACCTAGAACAAAGGCAGAACAAAGGCAATAAACATACACATACAGTCCACCGGCACAGGTACAACCTAGAACAAAGGCAGAACAAAGGCAATAAACATACACATACAGTCCACTGGCACAGGTACAACCTCGAACAAAGGCAATAAACATACACATACAGTCCACCGGCACAGGTACAACCTAGAACAAAGGCAACAAACAGACAGATACAGTCCACTGGTACAGGTAAAACCTAGAACAAAGGCAATGAACATACAGATACAGTTTACTTGTACAGGTACAACCTAAAACAAAGGCAATCAACATACAGATACAGTTTACTCGTACAGGTACAACCTAGAACGAAGGCAATGAACATACAAATACAGTCCACTCGTACAGGTACAACCTAAAACAAAGGCAATGAACATACACATACAGTCCACTGGCACAGGTACAACCTAAAACGAAGGCAACAAACATACAGATACAGTCCACTCGTACAGGTACAACCTAAAACAAAGGCAATGAACATACACATAACAGGTACAACCTAGAACAAAGGCAATGAACATACAGCCCCTGATACAGGTACAACCTAGAACAAAGGTAACAAACAATGAACATACACATACAGGCCACTGGTACAGGTACAACCTAGAACGAAGGCAATGAACATACAATCTAGAACATATGCAATGAACATACACATACAGTCCACCGGCACAGGTAAGGCATAGAACAAAGGCAATGAACATACAGATACACTCCACCGGCACAGGTACAACCTAGAACAAAGGCAATGAACATACAGAAACAGTCCATTGATACAGGTACAACCTAAAACAAAGGCAATGAACATACAGATACAGTCCCCTGATACAGGTACAACCTAGAACAAAGGTAACAAACATACAGATACAGTCCACTGGTACAGGTTCAACTGTAAACAAAGGCAACAAACATACAGATACAGCCCACTGGCACAGGTACAACCTAGAACCAAGGCAATGAACATACAGATACAGTTTACTTGTACAGGTACAACCTAGAACAAAGGCAAAGAACATACAGATACAGTCCACTGGCACAGGTACAACCTAAAACAAAGGCAATGCACATACAGATACAGTCCACTCGTACAGGCAATGAACATACAGATAGAGTCCACTGGCACAGGTACAACCTAAAACAAAGGCAATCAACATACAGATACACTCCACAGGCACAGGTACAACCTAGAACAAAGTCAATGAACATACAGATACAGTTTACTTGTACAGATACAACCTAGAACAAAGTCAATGAACATACAGAAACAGTCCACTGGTACAGGTACAACCTAGAACGAAGGCAACAAACATACAGATACAGTCAACTGGTACAGGTACAACCTAAAACAACTCGTACAGGTACAACCTAAAACAAAGGCAATAAACATACAGATACAGTCCCCTGGAACAGGTACAACCTAGAACAAAGGCAATGACCATACAGAGACAGTCCACTGGTACAGGTACAACCTAAAACAACTCGTACAGGTACAACCTAAAACAAAGGCAACTAACATACAGATACAGTCCACTCGTACAGGTACAACCTGAAACAAAGGCAATGAACATACACATACAGTCCACTGGTACAGGTACAACCTAAAACGAAGGCAACAAACATACAGATACAGTCAACTGGTACAGGTACAACCTAAAACAACTCGTACAGGTACAACCTAAAACAAAGGCAATGAACATACAGATAGAGTCCACTGGTACAGGTACAACCTAAAACGAAGGCAACAAACATACAGATACAGTTTACTTGTACAGATACAACCTAGAACAAAGGCAATGAAAGGCAATGAACATACAGATACAGTCCATTGATACAGGTACACCCTAGAACAAAGGCAACAAACATACAGATACAGCCCACTGGCACAGGTACAACCTAGAACCAAGGCAATGAACATACAGATACAGTCCATTGATACAGGTACACCCTAGAACAAAGGCAACAAACATACAGAAACAGTCCACTGATACAGGTACAACCTAGAACAAAGGCAAAGAACATACAGATACAGTCCACTGGCACAGGTACAACCTAGAACGAAGGCAATGAACATACAATCTAGAACATATGCAATGAACATACACATACAGTCCACTGGTACAGGTACAAGCTAGAACAAAGGCAATGAACATACAGGTACAGTCCACTGGTACAGTACAGTCCACTCGTACAGGTACAACCTGAAACAAAGGCAATGAACATACACATACAGTCCACTGGTACAGGTACAACCTAGAACGAAGGCAATGAACATACAGATATAGTTTACTTGTACAGGTACAACCTAGAACAAAGGCAACATACAGATACAGTCCACTGGTAGAGGTACAACCTAAAACAAAGGCAACAAACATACAGATACAGTTTACTTGTACAGGTACAGCCTAGAACAAAGGCAATGACCATACAGAGACAGTCCACTGGTACAGGTACAACCTAGAACAAAGCACAGGTACAACCTAGAACAAAGGCAACATACAGATACAGTCCACTGGTAGAGGTACAACCTAAAACAAAGGCAACAAACATACAGATACAGCCCACTCGTACAGGTACAACCTAAAACAAAGGCAACTAACATACAGATACAGTCCACTCGTACAGGTAAAACCTAGAACAAAGGCAATGAACATAGAGACAAAGGTAGATACCTAGATTCATGGTGATGGTCTAAAGGCAACAAACATACAGATACAGTCCACTGGCACAGGTACAACCTAGAACGAAGGCAATGAACATACAGATACAGTTTACTTGTACAGGTACAACCTAGAACAAAGGCAATGAACATACAGATACAGTTTACTCGTACAGGTACAACCTAGAACAAAGCCAACAAACATACAGATACAGTCCACTGGTACAGGTACAGCCTAGAACAAAGGCAATGACCATACAGAGACAGTCCACTGGTACAGGTACAACCTAGAACAAAGGCAACAAACATATAGATACAGTCCACTCATACAGGTACAACCTAGAACCAAGGTACCAAACATACAGATACAGTCCACTCGTACAGGTACAACCTAGAACAAAGGCAACAAACATACAGATACAGTCCACTCATACAGGTACAACCTAGAACAAAGGTAACAAACATACAGATACAGTCCACTCGTACAGGTACAACCTAGAACAAAGCCAATGAACATACAGATACAGTCCACTGGCATAGGTACAACCTAGAACAAAGGCAACAAACATACAGATACAGACCACTCATACAGGTACAACCTAGAACAAAGGTAACAAACATACAGATACAGTCCTCTCGTACAGGTACAACCTAGAACAAAGGCAATGAACATACAGATACAGTCCACTGATACAGGTACAACCTAGAACAAAGGCAATGAACATACAGACAAAGGTAGATACCTAGATTCATGGTGATGGTCTGTTGAATGAACCTATAGGTACAGTCCACCAGCACCAGTACAACCTAGAGAAATATTCCATAGCCAACACTGGTATAAACAAGATTTAAGCCAGTGGCGCTGGTTCAAAGAATATACAGATTTAGAGGTGTAAGCATACACATTATTTTTTTAAGATGGAAAGATTTAAAATGAATTTCTGCATAAAGAAAGAACAACACTGTGTGGAGGTGGTGTGCAATAACCATTTCATTTGTAGTCAGATCAGTCCTGATTTACTTTGAATGATATAATTAGTGCTTGTGGTCTTTGAAAAATTGCAATATATATGTTACACAAATAATAATGATTCTCATTTAAAATCAGTATATGTTCAAACAGTCATGAGGTTCCTGCCTACAATCAATTATGATATTTCATTACGTAACAGCCAAGGAATATGAGGGGGAAAATACTGCCTTACTGGCAGGCTAGCTATCCCAGCCATGGGGTACAACCATGGGACATCAATCGTTAACCTACACCAAATGGGGTTGATGTTGGATGAGTGCCCCCTAATCTGTTACAGTAACATTCAAGATTTTCCATCTTCCAACAAAAGATTAATTTAACATTTTTTTTAAAGGCCAAACCTGGATCTGAAGGTGCTGAGTCCTGTAATTTCTCTCAAAGAAAACAACAGCCTTTCCCATTGATTTGTAGCACTTCTTTAGTGCAGCCTTGTACCTGAAAAAATATAAACAGGTAAACAAAACTAGTGTCTTATATCTCGACAGGGATATTTATCTTGTACATTTTCACAGCCATTTCCATGTGTTATACAATATGTAATGTTGATTAATGTTCCACTTAATATCAGAAAACATCAAACATGATATTACAATGATCTCAACACTGACATTAATTTGGACATTGTTATATAAGAAACAGAATTGGGTATCTTGACATGTTTGGAATTATTCTCCGCTCAGCTTTATCTGTGTGACTACATTGTAACAATCAGGACATAAATGAGAAGATAACCTTATAATTAAAGTCAAACATCATTTGAAAGCTAAGCTTGTTCCGACACCTTAGTGTATTTCATTAACACGTTAGTTTTATTGAACACATTATGCACATGTCCTAAATACCCGGAAATGTTTGTCCAGTCAAATTTTCACAGTAAATCTATTTTCACCCAAAATTGAATTATCTCTTCATATCTAATTACTTTGTGTATCAAGTTGATCAAGTTGTTTACAAATGACCAAGTAGTAATAAATTTAGAGCAAAAAAGGCGAAAAATTAAACAGCAGCGAAAATTTCTCAGTATACAGAATACAGTAATGCAAAGTTTAAATAAAGTTTTGACCATGCCATTATTACATGAATATATATACCAGTAACTATATGGGTCAAAGAAGTAATAAAGACGGTAAAATCCCATATAACACTGATCCTAATGGAGGTATGTCCGTAGGATACGAATTACTTAAAATAGTATATGGGGGAAAGAAGTAATTCCAACAGTGTGGACAAGTTAAGGTTGTCAAATTTTCGGAGCGATCCACTCCTTTATCAAGACACAGTAACTATATATATACTCTTATATATATGTATGTCTCCTCTGCTCATTCCCAGATACCGATACTGATTTATTTTTAAACTATTTTCCTGATCTTGTCACTTGAAAATTTGGATGAAAGGAAGCAACAATATTACAAACTTATGACTTACTTGTCAATCTCATCTATAACCTCCGAGGGAGCCAGCACAGTAGACTGGTGATGACCGATGGGCAGTATCAATATGTGGTCATCCACCAACCCTCCCTTGGCCAGTGCGAGGTAGTTCTGTAACCAACAACCAGAGTGAATAAAGAATAAGTTTAACATACTTACCTCCCCTTAGTCTTCATTTAAATACCTAGAGATAACTGCCATGAGGGACATGACCCTGACCCTGACCTAGAGATAACTTCCATGAGGCACATGACCCTGACCCTGACCTAGAAATAACTGCCATGAGAGACATGACCCTGACCTATAGATAACTGCCATGAGGGCCATGACCCTGACCCTGACCTAGAAATAACTGCCATGAGGCACATGACCCTGACCTAGAGATAACTGCCATGAGGGACATGACCCTGACCCTGACCTAGAGATAACTGCCACGAGGGACATGACCGTGACCCTGACCTAGAAATAACTGCCATGAGGGACATGACCCTGACCTATAGATAACTGCCATGAGGGACATGACCCTGACCTAGAGATAACTGCCTTGAGGCACATGACCCTGACCTAGAGATAACTGCCATGAGGGACATGACCCTGTCCCTGACCTAGAAATAACTGCCATGAGCGACATGACCCTGACCCTGACCTAGAGACAACTGCCATGCGGGACATGACCCTGACACTGACCTAGAGATAACTGTCATGAGGGACATGACCCTGACCCTGACCTAGACATAACTGCCATGAGGCACATGACCCTGACCCTGACCTAGAAACAACTGCCATGAGGGACATGACCCTGACCTCGAGATAACTGCCATGAGGGACATGACCCTGTCCCTGACCTAGAAATAACTGCCATGAGGGACATGACCCTGACCCTGACCTAGAGATAACTGTCATGAGGGACATGACCCTGACCCTGACCTAGAAATTACTGCCATGAGGAACATGACCCTGACCTAGAGATAACTGCCATGAGGGACATGACCCTGACCATGACCTAGAAATAACTGCCATGAGGGACATGACCCTGTCCCTGACCTAGAAATAACTGCCATGAGGGACATGACCCTGACCCTGACCTAGAGATACAACCTACAATGATCAGGAATACAAAGCTTCATCAAAACAACTGTTCAGAAGCTATACTGTATACCGGTACACCAGTTTAATATTTCGCCGTTTTCGCCCTCCATAATGACAGTGAGTTGATCATTACAGACAACTGTAGTAAGTGATACAATAGACATAGTAATCAAATGTGAAGGATGAAATTAACATTGGGCGAAAATGGGTTTCTCCGGCGTAGGGCGAAAAATTTGTCTGGGCAAAAGTTTACAGTAGTCCTGACAGATGTGGTGGAAGTGACATCGTACAACTCGGCCTTTCCACTGTAGTAGGACATGATTAAGAAAGTCACTTTTTATTTACCTGGTAGCTATCTTTATTTCAGTTTCTGGTGGTAATATGAAGATATCTGGTTGTGAGCCATTTTTCGTGAACGTAATTCAATGACTATCAAAGTGTTACTAAACTGACCACCAGGTGTTATTTACGTACGGACAAACATTTTGCTGATCTCCTCATAATGACCAACACTCAAATGATCTCCTAAACTGACCACTAGGTGTTTATTTTACGTACTGACAAACACTTTGCTGATCTCCTTAACTATACACTATAAGATATGCTACATGCTGACCAACACTTAAATAATCTTATAAACTGACCACTAGTTGTTCTTAAACTGACCTCTAGGAGTAAGGCTTCACACTGACCAAATACTTACATGATCTCCTACACTGACCACTAGGTGTTTCTCCACCTCTGGACTGCCCAGACAGAACCAACACGGACCAGTGGCCTGGGCTGTGAACATAGGTTGCTTTATTTATGTATTTTATTTATTATTGCTGTGTCAATGATACTGATTTTAATATATGTCAGTTTAGGAAGAAGCAGTCACAGTCTATTGTTAACATTTCATTGTATTGATACATTTACATAGAGAACAACAAACTCATGCAGTGCTGAAATTGAGGTTTTGTGACAATATGGTTTAATGGCAGTTTTACTTGATTAGAAATGTTCCTGTTGTGTTGTATTGGTGGATTAACATTATTTCGTTTTGGTCAAAAAGGTTCAGGGGTAAAAAATGGTAGCAAGTCCAAACGCATTTTCATGATTTCTGAACTTATTCTAGTAGTTGGAATGGGAGAAAAATATTCTTTCATGCCCAGGGGTGTAGAATACCAAATTTGGTAAACATTGGAAAGCTCTGACATTAGCATTGGTTAAACTAAATGACCTCTACCAAAATGAACAGTACTATGACTCAGCAGTTCTCCGATGGCCATCTAAAATAACAGTAACAATGCCTGTTGTTCGTAAACTTACGATGTTTTTTCTTCCTATCGGGACCACCTCCATCATGTTGTCTCCTTTTGGAATTCTTTTTCTCTGTCATGTCGTAAAAAAACTGGGCCGACTTTTCTTCTGTCTATGAAATAATCAGAAACACATATTTGTTACTTTAAATTATTTCATCTAACACTGGGAAAAAACATATTTCCAACAATTCTGAATCCTGAGTATATTCCATCATTATATCTTTATAAAACTTTTCTACCACATGAAAATGTAATTTAAAGTACTTTCATGTCAACTTCAGTGCCTATGAAAAATGTAACCCAAATCCTCTATTTAATATAGGCTGTTTGTTTGTTGATGTATATAATTGCCTCATTTTCTTTTCACCAACACAGGTATTGTCACAACTGACGTCATGATTTCTTGACATTGAGCCAGTGGTCATGTTTTGCCATATATGTAGAAATGATTAGGTATAAACATGTTCCCTAACTCGACAAAGCTAATTCGTTTGGTCACACACAGCTCACTGGTTTAGGTTTGCAATACAGGGGAGGCTTTTGGAAAAGTATTTCATAAGCAAAATTTGTTGCCCAATAAAAAATGTTTTCTACCATTGAACAGTTTTGTTACATTGTTGACATGGTAGAAAAAGTATGTAGTAACTCTCCTTTTATGTACTGTATCTTACTGCATAGAATTCTCTTTCAATTAAAAAAAAATGCCTTTCTGCAGTTTGATAATAATTTCTAGTTTTGATAGGTCACTGATTTAAATGATGTAAACTGCCCAAGTACAGCAGCAATGTTGTGTAAATTAGAACAGACCTGTGACAGAGCAATGGGCCAAAGAGACCTCAATATAACCATTGTATGCTAATTTTCTTTCCTTACCTGATTCTGTAAGTCCTGTCTGGACATGGTCAGTGTAAACGGACATTCTGTAACGTCAGCTGGCTGTTTGGTCAGTTCCGAGGGCTCCATAGCACTCAGTGGTGTTATGTTGAAGGCATAGAGAAACTGTCAAAGACATTTTTAAGATGATTCATACATAAATCGTTCCTGGGGAATTATTTGACAGAAACAATGAATGTTTTGGAAATGTCCATCAAAGTTATAATAGAGACTGTTGGGTTAGGTATTCACGATTTCACTCCTCTTACAAAGATTGTCATCAGGTAGCAGCACTTTCTTCTCCATTCAGTCAATTATCCTATACTTAAACAAAAGCACTAATAGCAGGTATCTAATACAGAAAACATTACATTCTCATTATTTAATAATTACAACATCAGGTAGTTTTAAAACAAGTCTACTTTGGCTTAACACATCATACTTGATTTGACTACATCTAACATGTTGTAAACTAGATACACCTGCGGACCTTTGTTTACTGGAATACAGTCATTTCAGTCAATCATTGTGATATAATATTCCAATAATAATACATCAACTGAAACTCAAAACATTAAAACACTTTTACTTAGGATTGATATTACTGTATTCCTTTAATGAACCTATTCCCCAGATACTCTAACCTTTTTCTTGTCCTTGTTACTTGTGTTTGCCAGTCCTATGATAATGAACCTATTCCCCGGATATACTAACCTTTTTCTTGTCCTTGTTACTTGTTTTTGCCAGTCCTATGATAATGAACCCATTCCCCAGATATACTAACCTTTTTCCTGTCCTTGTTACTTGTGTTTGCCAGTCCTATGATAATGAACCTATACCCCAGATATACTAACCTTTTTCTTGTCCTTGTTACTTGTGTTTGCCAGTCCTATGAATCGGGTAACATGTTTGTCCTTATCTGACAAAACCTTATGATTCCTAAAATTATAAATGTAAGATTGAATTAGGATTTTTAAGCTTACATTATTAACTATACAGCATTATATAAATTACATGTATAAAATAGGCTTCAAAATTATTCAGCAGATGAACAAAATAATTTGTATTTGATGCATAAGATATAGAGATTTAAAAACAGTTGTCTGACCACCCCGTTCTTAAGTTAAGACAGAAAAGTCTGAATTCTTGATTGAATGATTGGTTTGTTGTTTAATTGGTTGGGGCTTGATTTCTTCGGGACCGCAAAGGTAATTTAAAAATGTCATCATGCAGAAATATTACAACTTAGACATGGTAGCATGACATCCCATGAGTCATATCATTCTGAAACTAAGTTACCTAGATAGACACCATGGAAAGGAACTAGTTAGTAATCATTAAAAGAGAAAAGAAATAAAATACAGAGTTGTCTAGTGTTTTATAGAGAGCTTATGATTAATGCTCATATATTCAGTGTCCCAAGTAACAGGTCACAGAGGAAACTCAAGTTTTTACAGCTGTTTCTCATCACTTGCTGTTAACGATCATGCAGTGGACTATAGCAGGCTAATACATTAGTCAATCCTTACAATCATGCAGTGGGCTATCGCAGGTCAATACATTAGTCAATCCTTACAAACATGCAGTGGGCTATAGCAGGCTAATACATTAGTAAATCCTTACAAACATGCAGTGGGCTATAGCAGGCTAATACATTAGTCAATCCTTACAATCATGCAGTGTGCTATAGCAGGCTAATACATTAGTCAATCCTTACGATCATGCAGTGGACTATAGCAGGCTAATACATTAGTAAATCCTTACAATCATGCAGTGGGCTATAGCAGGCCAATACATTAGTCAATCCTTACAATCATGCAGTGTGATATAGCAGGCTAATACATTAGTCAATCCTTACAATCATGCAGTGGGCTATAGCAGGCTAATACATTAGTCAATCCTTACAAACATGCAGTGGGCTATAGCAGGCCAATACATTAGTCAATCCTTACAATCATGCAGTGGACTATAGCAGGCCAATACATTAGTCAATCCTTACAATCATGCAGTGGGATAGAGCAGGCTAATACATTAGTCAATCCTTACAACCATGCAGTGGGCTATAGCAGGCTAATACATTAGTAATTCCTTACAATCATGCAGTGGACTATAGCAGGCCAATACATTAGTCAATCCTTACAATCATGCAGTGGGATAGAGCAGGCTAAATCATTTTCTCATATATACAGTCATCTCATAACTGTTACAAACCTGTATGGCTGCCGTTCATAAAATTCTCTTTCCATCCCAGCGAAGTGGTAGCGTGGTTTGAGATGTATGGCTAACTGTGACACAGCATGAGATCCACAGGATGACGTGTCCACAGAATCCTGAAAAAACATTGAACAAATGTTACACGTTGTTGTAAATGTATCTTAATAGACCTCAGATCACTCAAACTGCCATTGCTTAAATACCCTGTGTTCTTGGAACTTTAATTTATCCCTGACCACACAAAACCCAAGTATTTAACCTAACCGAATCCATTCGTCAAACAGGTACTCTAACCTGTGTCACACCTTGAAAGTAACTCTAATCTTCAATACTTTTGCAAACATTGTAAATAATCACTAAAAAAATTCTAAACTATACCAGAAACTCTTTATGAAATCCTATAAGCTAATATTTAGATGCAAGACAACACACAGGCCATCAGAAAGCTAGCATATCTAATTTTTACCATTTTTATTCCATATTTGTCGACCCCTTGTGGCCATTGAGATGTAATTAAGATGTCGACCCCTCTGAATTTGGAGTCAGAGATGACTGGTAGAGTGAGGGAGGAGACATCTTTGTTACAAAAATGTGTATCATCTCCATTGTCATCTGAACTCTCTAGACCACTGAGGTAGGCCAGCTGTAACCCTGACGATCCTGTAAACATTCCCTTCTTGCCTGTGAAAGATAAAATAAATATCCTGTGCTTCCATTTCAGCAGGGCTAGCAAAAGTAATGATTTATCTAAGTTGAAATATCTTGTTTCATATTTAAATTTGTGTTGAAATAAACAAGGAAACATACAGGGCGTAATCTATACTTCCCAAACGTTGGTATCAAACATAATCGAAGGGCTATAACTCTGCATTTGATGGGCAAATTACTTCGTTTTCAGTTCACACCACTCCGAAGAGGTACTCGCATTCAACAAGAAAGTAACAAAGACAAAATAATATTTGCAGTTGCATTAAACAAAACAAAAAATTTGCAACATTGAGGTTTTTAAACTGGCACAATATTTTTCTACCGGTAATTGTTTTCCATTGTTACTGTAAATAAATCTATCTACACACCGCAAAATTTATCTTCAAAAGTTTAAAAATTACAAAATACAGAATCTTCACTATAAAATATTAAATTTCGTGATAAAAAAACTATTTTCTGATGAAGGGACATATATGGATAACAATTATGTAACAGACATATTTCTACAAATTGTTGTTTTATTGCTTGGTACATTAACAAAGTTTTGCATCACTTTTTTTCTAACAGTACCCCCATCATACCAAGGTATGTGACATTGTGACACAGCTCGACACCATCCTCTCCACTGTAGTAGCCGACATGTTCCTTTTGGTTAGGGCCTAGTATCAGGGTACTCAAAGGTACTGAAATTATAAAACATAAACATGCTCTCAAAATAGTTCTAATCAAAAGGTAAATTGTTATAAAATCTGTAGCTACATCTTTATAGTGATATCTGTTTGATATTGATAGAATTAAACCTCGGCTTCAAGTAATCTAAAACATAAAGATTTATCATCTCCTCAAATGGATTGACCAATGACTAACAAAATTTACAAAAATATATTTAAACAAATATTTATGGTGTTGTCTTCAATTGAAGCACTGCAAATATGTTTAAACTACAAAAATATGATTTTTTGACCCTTCAATATCAAATCACTACACAGCAGAGTATCATTAATATTAATCCTGGCTTTTCATCTATGAGGAGACATTTATTTAGCTTTTTAAACAGGAGTAAAATCAACGAAGTATTCTGTTCTTAATCATATCAAATATAAATCAGGTTAATATACAAACATCACCTTTTTTCTCTCCAGATATAAATGGCTTCCAATTACTCTCATCATCACCAAAGAAATCTCCTACACATAACAGAAGCTGTAAACAAGGTAGACAATATTTATATAATTATATAAAACAAAAATCTTACAACTAATTACAGGGTATACATGTAGCTAAAGAATTTATTCAACATAGGCACAATTTTTATGAAGTTTAATGTACGTAAGACAATTCCTTCTTAGGTGACGTACCCCTTGGCCTAAAAACATTATCTTATGTTATATTGTAGCAGAAAGTTGTATCTTCTTGAAGTCAGAGAAAATTGACAGAAATCAAAAAACCAATATCATGGTTAATCTATGAATCTGTACATGTACTACAGAAAAAAATCATGATAAATAAACATATCTCTAGTAAAAAATGAATATTTCTATGATTTTCATTGCTTCAAATAAAAAAACTTATCATTGCAAATAAGAACAGAATTGGGTTTTTTTAAGTAATTTTTGTTTTCTAAAAGAAAAGTAATTCTTAACACTAGTGCAGTGTGTCATTGGTAAAAAAATAAACGTATTTTACAACAACAGAAGCCTGTCTCTAACTTACATGTACATTGAAAGTGATTACAAAAATTGAAATGAAAATCATAAATCATATGAAAAGGGGGAAAATATTTTTTTGAAATTAATGTGAATTAAGTCACAATTTTAACCCAGTATATGCCAACTTTACCAAAATTGGGATCCCAAAACATATGAATCCCCAAAAAAAGAATTGGAATTGTTGCTTTTTCTCTGTCGTTAACACGCATGATCACTGATTTTCACCTACATCAAAATTTCCACTTTTCTTTTGAATGCTGCCTATCCTGGAGAAGAGCTGATCAAAGTTTCCATTCACATCTCCACTTACAAGTCTGCAAAAGAAAAACATTTTTATGTTAACAATGCTGTGCACACATCAAAAACTTCTTAGATTTATATACTTTAAATGGAGCCATATATTGGTAAAAAGGTTCCATAATATCGCATGAAATACTGAAAAATACTTGAAAAGTATCAAACAGGATGTAAATTAGCTGTTATGTTATGTTAACAGTCTGTTAGATAAAAAGAATTACACGTAATTAGATGTCTTGCATGTCCCCGCTTTGAACATAAGATGCAATGTGTGAGGTTAATTTAGTCCAACGCTTTAACTTTTTGAGATACAGCATAAAACACACAGCTTAACATTTATGAAGATGCTGTCAAAGTCACTGCGGAATGTAGGGCACATTCAGCAACTGATGCATGGATTGAGCTGAAGTATATAAGACGCATGTATGGTCCAAGTTTGGTTGGTCTAGCACTTGTAGTTTTTGAGAAACAGAGTTAAACGCAAAAACTTAACATTGACGCCGCCGCCATCGGAAAAGTAACACCCAAGTCCTGCCTCCTCGACATCCGTTGCAGGTGAGACAAAATGATGAACTGGTGAATGGACCATACACAAACTACTGAAACTAGTGAGTAGTCGACAGCTACTTAGCATACACAAACTACTGAAACTAGTGAGTAGTCGACAGCTACTTAGCATACACAAACTACTGAAACTAGTGAGTAGTCGACAGCTACTTAGCGGAATTTTTCTGATCCAAGGATTATTCTTATCAATGGTAAGATAAAGAGGTGGTACATGCATATAGTTGTCTGATTATTAAGGAACTTGACAAAATGTTTTTATTATATTTTTCTAAGAGTGTGTTTTCAAATGTTGCTAATATCCTACATAAAATAAAATGTATACAATGTATCATATTTATCCTTCAGCAAGCCAACATGTAACCTCTGACGCAAAATAGGTGGGTGGGCTTATATTGCAGGATATTGAAATATCATTTGTTGGCACTTCCACTGAATTGTAATAGATATGAGAGGGCTTATTAGCAGGCATGGGCTTGTAGTGCCAGAAACATCATGTGCATTTTTCTGTCATATTTTAAAACTTACTTAACAATTCACATTTACAACAGTGTACGCAAACATGTCCGAAGTTAAGTTCGCAATCGGCCGAGCAGTGCGAGCCATTATAGCAACACATGTATGGAAAGTACGGGAAAATGATAGTGAATTGATTCTATGCTATTTGTAGTCTTCAAAAACTTTCGTCCTTCCGGTCGTACAGGCTTGCAAAAAAACGGCAACATACGTTCCGCTACGTGCCTGCATTGATGTTCTTTTTTTTTGCACAAGCAATTAATTTGATATTTTCAATAAAAAAAAATACTTCAGTCTATAGGCAATGGGATCATCCAGTGCAAATGTGACAGGTGAGCATGATTTTTTCTGTGTGCTATTTATAGCTGCTCTACAGAACACTATAAGTAATGGAAGTATTGTCACAAACATTTAGACAACTGAATTAACATTTTTTTGTGCACAATTGTACCTCATTGTATTTTTTATTGGATTATGTTGAACGAATGACGCCCTTTTTTGCTCAATGTGTTTAAAAGAACTTTATTTATTTATTTTTTACTTTATAACCCATCCTGAGTAATAAAGGCATTTAAGTTATCAAAGATATAAGGCCGCTATCACAGATATAGGACCGTGATCACAGATATAGGATCGTGATCACAGATAAAGGGCCGCTGAAATATATATAAGATGGTACATGTATATTGAATCATGCAAGGATTGGAGTCTAGCTATTCTACAGGCTGCATAAAATGAAACAGTTAAATTATGCAGATAACAACTGTATTTTCATGTGCCCGCTGACTAGGTCTCACCTATTTCATATTACATTTGTACCAGCCATATATAATCGGTTATGCACAACCTGTTATTCATAAATACGTGACTCACACTTTCAGAGCTGCTGTACTGGCCATGTTTTACAGCATCTTCGTATGGGGAAGTTACCGCGCACTGTTCAAACGGGCGCAGACATATTGCAGTTCCGCAGTTAATCACACTTTATTTAACATGTTTAAAATTATTCTCCGCTAGGTATGCTACTTAATTAATCCACACACAAATTATTTTAAACTCCCTTGAATAGATATTTTTATCGATTGATAGATAGCACTATTAACGTTCGGTGTAAATTATTATTTAGTGCGAAGTTTCTTTGTTTACAAATGGTGGACGGCGTTACTTGGTCAGAAAATTCACGTGTGCTAGCAAGCAAAAACTTGTTTTTATTGTTGACTTCAATGTGCTTGCAGAAAGCGATTTAAGGATGACAGACGGCTTCGGTACTATCACTTGGTGGGGATTTAGTCCAGCACTTGATCTTCAGGACAAGGGTAGGCGGAAAATTACGATTTTAACATTCATTATCTTCTATTTTATCAATATATTTGCATGGTATTCTTTTGGTATTGTACACAATTTAACGGAAACCAAAAGTCGATGACTGTATTTGCCCAAATAAACATAGACAGTGATATGATATCTGTACTTTACTTTCGATAACATTGATTTGATTATACTTGTATTGAATTTTCTTTAAAAAATTACAAAAAGATAATACGAAATACTTTGATTTGTTTCATTAAAAAGCCTTTTGCATTAAATGCAATATGTTTCAGGACATATTGAACATAAGAAAATAAACTTCAGTTTCCATTGGAAGAACCAACCACTACAATAAATTCCAGGGCCCGTATTCATGAAACCGTTTTCATGCTCTTAGCATGGATTTTGTGCTCAACTCCAATTTCTTGTTCTGGCTGTAAATTTATAAGAAAAACTTATTCTGTAAATGATTTTGAAAAACTTTGAAGAGATTTAAAGCAGAAAACTGTTTCAATGTTTATATTTGACTTTTTGATTGTTTTACATGATTTCGGTGAGTTACAAGAATGTTGGAATAAGTTTAAGTTTAAGTATAACATTAAGCAGGGAATAACAACTACCATTTTTAAGGACTTTGGTATGTCCCGGCCTGGGGACAGAACCCATTGCTTTCCCACCTGGAAGAATGCTCAACATTAAAGCCAAACGTGAGGTAATTGCCAAGCAAGGCACTAGGAAATAAAAGGTAGTTTGAAGTAGAAAGAAATGTGAAGATCCAAAATATTGCAATAGGTGCAGCAGTCTTATTTTGGATGTTTTTTGAGTCCTCAAGTAGAGAGTGGATAGTACAAAACTGTCAAAAGCAAATCCCAATTCTGCAGCAGTTCCTCTTACGATAGTCTGTCATGCCGTGGGTAACAGCCTTCGTATGCAACAAATAAATAAATGTTTGACATGCTGAAACATTGTCATAATAGTATTCATTTGTAGAAAGGAATTTTTGTTTGTCACATGCGGAAGCTTTCATTTCTGCATGTTTGTTATAGTAGCTAGGTATCTACGCATGGGCATTGGAAAAAATCTGCACCAAGAAAGATAGCCCCAATTAACCAATATGATGTTTATAACAGAAATTGGAAAATAAATTCAAGTTGAAATTTTGTACTTTTTATGAGGCCAAAAATGACCCATAACGCCCCAAGTCCCTTGAAGGCTTGATGTATGCATGCATGAATGACACAGGTAGGCTAGTTTGATCCTATGATGTACGTCAAAAGGATTGCATGCCATTGTCACAATATATTCCAGGGGTGAGAACAAATGTAAGGATGTCATTCCCAAGGGCATGGAGGAGATTGTCTCATAGCTTTGTTTGTATATAACAGTAGTTTAAGGCCCATTGCCACTATAAGGTCATTCAGGGCCATTACACAATAAATAAACATATTATATGGCACACAAGGATATATACCAACTCAGGAAACGAAGAACAAAGGTAGATAAGGAAAGATGTAGACCTATTTATGGGACTGATCAGTCTTGCAATAGTTTGGTCGTGTTCATTCCCAGGAGCCCATAGTGGATATCATTATGTAACTTTCATATATCTGATAGTTTTGTAACAGACCCTTAGTTTATGATAGAAGGATTTATCATCCGTCACATCAGGGGAAGCTATGATGTATCAGACTTCTGAAGTATGATTGTGTATGAATACATAATATCAGAAAAGTTGTTATCAGATTATCAAATATGATGGTTCAATGCTTGTAATTCTTATGTGACACAGAAATCAATAACCAAGGGTAATTAAGAGTTGTGTTTCTTTTTCATGAATACCTATCTTGTTAACATTGCAGATGTCATATCAGCTCTAAAGGGACTCAGACTGGACAGTGATGACGGACCAGGTAAATTTCTCAGAATAATCAATATATGTAATCTACAATGTTTATATAAATATATGTATATTTGTTTGCTTTATAGTTCATATATATGAGAACATGGATATAATTATATATGTCAAATAGTCTAGAAGCCTATGACAACAAGATTGGGACACACAAAATGTTTGATTTTTGTATTTAGTTTTATTCTATTTTTCATAAACATATATATACATATGCATTTTTTGTTATAATAATCTTTAAAAAATGCTGAGGTCAAGAGACTTAATTTACAAAAAAAAAAAAATGATTGTTGCAACCTTCAACATATCGTTCCCTTTGATGGAGTCATGGACAGCATCACATTACACAAGGTAAGTATAGTGTACAAAAGGTATGGAGGGATATACAAACATTTCGTCCCCTAATCACTTTGGATTACTTTGAGTGTGTTGTCTCACTGTTTACGAGTATCCTTCTCTGTGTAGATGAGCTGCGGATCCTCCTGGTGGGGGCTGGAGACATGAGACATCTACTCACTACTGTGGCTAGATCTTACCGCCACGGAAAAAGGAAACTCCACGTGAGTAACAGATGAATCTTTCACAATGTCTAAGAGTGGGGGGTGAAGGAGTTCCAAAAGAAACAGCACTACAAACAATAAATGCTCATTGTTTTTAACACAAACAATAATTTGAAAACGTATTTTGCGAGCTTACGAAAACGTCCGTTTCCTTTGTCAAGCAAAGAGAGCAAATGACTGGTGTCTTCACTCTAAACACTATTGATAGACAAAATTCAATACAAACTTAACATTTAATATTCATACCAAACTGATAAATAGATCCGTTTCAAGCACTACAAATATACTTGTGTGTTATATAATTTACCTTTAAAAATAAAATTGTCCAGGTTAAACTGATTTTCAGCAAAAGCCATGGAAAATGTTATAGGATTCAGACCCCTTTAAAAACTATGTCCATTTTGAGTCCATATTGTTAATGCACATGTATATATAAAGGTTTAAGGGTTCGAGAAAAAGAGGAATAATACTTATCTAATCTTAATGATCATCAGACAGATGAAACAAAATATATAGTTTACATGCAATTTCAGAAATAATTTTCAAAATTAGTTTGAAAATAAAATTATAATTGATGTCAAAAGAATTCATGATGCAAAATTAAATAACCAATTAACGTGCTCAGTCATACTGGATTCTATTTGAGCTAAATAAGATAAAAAGAAAAAACCAAATTATTTGCGTATTTTGATACAATTCATTTGACTATTTATTATATTGACCCCTGCTATGATTTAAATTTCACAATGACTGCATCGTTCTTCTTTTCAGTTTTATGTAATTGAAAATAACCTGGAATTGTATGCTAGAGACATGCTGTTTATGACCATTGCTTTAGAAACTCAAAAAAGAATGGGCTTACAAGGTGAGTGAAATACTGATATGACTGACACTACAGTGCTTTAACTATCAGTCTACATCTGGACAGAATGACTTCCTATGTATCAGGTGTCTGTTACTGACACTGCAGTGCTATAACTATCAGTCTACATCTAGACAGAATGACTTCCTATGTATCAGGTGTCTGTTACATAAATTGTTAATGTTTTTGTTTTCTGAGTCTGGTATACTGCTTTATTATTTGTTTATGAAAATCATTGGATGCCACCAGCTTACTACTATGTACAGTATAATGTCTGCATACTTTGGATACCACCAGCTTACTACTATGTACAGTATAATGTCTGCATACTTGCCAACTCTCCCTATTTAGGAGGGAGACTCCTGATTTTGGACCCTTAAATTTAGTAATTTCAACAAATGAATTAGTTAAACTATTCCTATAATCTAAGATCTAATGATTTCACCTGAAAGAACAGCTAGAAATATGTCATCTTAAAGGGTTATTTTGTGTGTATGGGGTATATAAACACACAAAGGGTTATTTTGTGGTTATGGGGTATATAAACACACAAAGGGATATTTTGTGTGTATGGGGTATATAAGCATTCTTCATTTATGTTTTAATTTTGAATATGCAGAATCTTAAAATTTAGAAATTTCAAAAAGTTGGCAAGTATGTGTCTGGAGTTTATACCATGTAAACACCATGGTAGACTAGGCAATATATACCAATATACTGGAGTTTATACCATGTAAACACCATGGTAGACTAGGCAATATATACCAATATACTGGAGTTTATACCATGTAAACACCATGGTAGACTAGGCAATATATACCANACTATCAGAACATCACCATTCTCCTCCAGTCTATCTAATTCACTATCAGAACATCACCATTCTCCTCCAGTCTATCTAATTCACTATCAGAACATCACCATTCTCCTCCAGTCTATCTAATTCACTATCAGAACATCACCATTCTCCTCCAGTCTATCTAATTCACTATCAGAACATCACCATTCTCCTCCAGTCTATCTAATTCACTATCAGAACATCACCATTCTCCTCCAGTCTATCTAATTCACTATCAGAACATCACCATTCTCCTCCAGTCTATCTAATTCACTATCAGAACATCACCATTCTCCTCCAGTCTATCTAATTCACTATCAGAACATCACCATTCTCCTCCAGTCTATCTAATTCACTATCAGAACATCACCATTCTCCTCCAGTCTATCTAATTCACTATCAGAACATCACCATTCTCCTCCAGTCTATCTAATTCACTATCAGAACATCACCATTCTCCTCCAGTCTATCTAATTCACTATCAGAACATCACCATTCTCCTCCAGTCTATCTAATTCACTATCAGAACATCACCATTCTCCTCCAGTCTATCTAATTCACTATCAGAACATCACCATTCTCCTCCAGTCTATCTAATTCACTATCAGAACATCACCATTCTCCTCCAGTCTATCTAATTCACTATCAGAACATCACCATTCTCCTCCAGTCTATCTAATTCACTATCAGAACATCACCATTCTCCTCCAGTCTATCTAATTCACTATCAGAACATCACCATTCTCCTCCAGTCTATCTAATTCACTATCAGAACATCACCATTCTCCTCCAGTCTATCTAATTCACTATCAGAACATCACCATTCTCCTCCAGTCTATCTAATTCACTATCAGAACATCACCATTCTCCTCCAGTCTATCTAATTCACTATCAGAACATCACCATTCTCCTCCAGTCTATCTAATTCACTATCAGAACATCACCATTCTCCTCCAGTCTATCTAATTCACTATCAGAACATCACCATTCTCCTCCAGTCTATCTAATTCACTATCAGAACATCACCATTCTCCTCCAGTCTATCTAATTCACTATCAGAACATCACCATTCTCCTCCAGTCTATCTAATTCACTATCAGAACATCACCATTCTCCTCCAGTCTATCTAATTCACTATCAGAACATCACCATTCTCCTCCAGTCTATCTAATTCACTATCAGAACATCACCATTCTCCTCCAGTCTATCTAATTCACTATCAGAACATCACCATTCTCCTCCAGTCTATCTAATTCACTATCAGAACATCACCATTCTCCTCCAGTCTATCTAATTCACTATCAGAACATCACCATTCTCCTCCAGTCTATCTAATTCACTATCAGAACATCACCATTCTCCTCCAGTCTATCTAATTCACTATCAGAACATCACCATTCTCCTCCAGTCTATCTAATTCACTATCAGAACATCACCATTCTCCTCCAGTCTATCTAATTCACTATCAGAACATCACCATTCTCCTCCAGTCTATCTAATTCACTATCAGAACATCACCATTCTCCTCCAGTCTATCTAATTCACTATCAGAACATCACCATTCTCCTCCAGTCTATCTAATTCACTATCAGAACATCACCATTCTCCTCCAGTCTATCTAATTCACTATCAGAACATCACCATTCTCCTCCAGTCTATCTAATTCACTATCAGAACATCACCATTCTCCTCCAGTCTATCTAATTCACTATCAGAACATCACCATTCTCCTCCAGTCTATCTAATTCACTATCAGAACATCACCATTCTCCTCCAGTCTATCTAATTCACTATCAGAACATCACCATTCTCCTCCAGTCTATCTAATTCACTATCAGAACATCACCATTCTCCTCCAGTCTATCTAATTCACTATCAGAACATCACCATTCTCCTCCAGTCTATCTAATTCACTATCAGAACATCACCATTCTCCTCCAGTCTATCTAATTCACTATCAGAACATCACCATTCTCCTCCAGTCTATCTAATTCACTATCAGAACATCACCATTCTCCTCCAGTCTATCTAATTCACTATCAGAACATCACCATTCTCCTCCAGTCTATCTAATTCACTATCAGAACATCACCATTCTCCTCCAGTCTATCTAATTCACTATCAGAACATCACCATTCTCCTCCAGTCTATCTAATTCACTATCAGAACATCACCATTCTCCTCCAGTCTATCTAATTCACTATCAGAACATCACCATTCTCCTCCAGTCTATCTAATTCACTATCAGAACATCACCATTCTCCTCCAGTCTATCTAATTCACTATCAGAACATCACCATTCTCCTCCAGTCTATCTAATTCACTATCAGAACATCACCATTCTCCTCCAGTCTATCTAATTCACTATCAGAACATCACCATTCTCCTCCAGTCTATCTAATTCACTATCAGAACATCACCATTCTCCTCCAGTCTATCTAATTCACTATCAGAACATCACCATTCTCCTCCAGTCTATCTAATTCACTATCAGAACATCACCATTCTCCTCCAGTCTATCTAATTCACTATCAGAACATCACCATTCTCCTCCAGTCTATCTAATTCACTATCAGAACATCACCATTCTCCTCCAGTCTATCTAATTCACTATCAGAACATCACCATTCTCCTCCAGTCTATCTAATTCACTATCAGAACATCACCATTCTCCTCCAGTCTATCTAATTCACTATCAGAACATCACCATTCTCCTCCAGTCTATCTAATTCACTATCAGAACATCACCATTCTCCTCCAGTCTATCTAATTCACTATCAGAACATCACCATTCTCCTCCAGTCTATCTAATTCACTATCAGAACATCACCATTCTCCTCCAGTCTATCTAATTCACTATCAGAACATCACCATTCTCCTCCAGTCTATCTAATTCACTATCAGAACATCACCATTCTCCTCCAGTCTATCTAATTCACTATCAGAACATCACCATTCTCCTCCAGTCTATCTAATTCACTATCAGAACATCACCATTCTCCTCCAGTCTATCTAATTCACTATCAGAACATCACCATTCTCCTCCAGTCTATCTAATTCACTATCAGAACATCACCATTCTCCTCCAGTCTATCTAATTCACTATCAGAACATCACCATTCTCCTCCAGTCTATCTAATTCACTATCAGAACATCACCATTCTCCTCCAGTCTATCTAATTCACTATCAGAACATCACCATTCTCCTCCAGTCTATCTAATTCACTATCAGAACATCACCATTCTCCTCCAGTCTATCTAATTCACTATCAGAACATCACCATTCTCCTCCAGTCTATCTAATTCACTATCAGAACATCACCATTCTCCTCCAGTCTATCTAATTCACTATCAGAACATCACCATTCTCCTCCAGTCTATCTAATTCACTATCAGAACATCACCATTCTCCTCCAGTCTATCTAATTCACTATCAGAACATCACCATTCTCCTCCAGTCTATCTAATTCACTATCAGAACATCACCATTCTCCTCCAGTCTATCTAATTCACTATCAGAACATCACCATTCTCCTCCAGTCTATCTAATTCACTATCAGAACATCACCATTCTCCTCCAGTCTATCTAATTCACTATCAGAACATCACCATTCTCCTCCAGTCTATCTAATTCACTATCAGAACATCACCATTCTCCTCCAGTCTATCTAATTCACTATCAGAACATCACCATTCTCCTCCAGTCTATCTAATTCACTATCAGAACATCACCATTCTCCTCCAGTCTATCTAATTCACTATCAGAACATCACCATTCTCCTCCAGTCTATCTAATTCACTATCAGAACATCACCATTCTCCTCCAGTCTATCTAATTCACTATCAGAACATCACCATTCTCCTCCAGTCTATCTAATTCACTATCAGAACATCACCATTCTCCTCCAGTCTATCTAATTCACTATCAGAACATCACCATTCTCCTCCAGTCTATCTAATTCACTATCAGAACATCACCATTCTCCTCCAGTCTATCTAATTCACTATCAGAACATCACCATTCTCCTCCAGTCTATCTAATTCACTATCAGAACATCACCATTCTCCTCCAGTCTATCTAATTCACTATCAGAACATCAAGACGGGGTTAGATTTTAATTTCTTTGTTACTTTCCCCCCAAGATCACTCAAATTATTATTTGCAACACAGGGACTTAAGCCTCGTCTGTCAATACACCTATACTATAATTGATTATATTAGGTGTATTGACAGATGAGACTAGTACCTGTGATCTGCAATATGAATACAAAATCACAATATCGGATTAATTTTTTGACAACTAATAGAAAATAATAAGAAAGATAGTTAGGTTTGTAAGGGTTTTTGTATTACTCCTTTTTTCTTTACTTTCTAGAAAAAACAGAGTTGTTTCTTGAGTTATTTGGAAATATTCTTGTGCGGAAACAGTCCTGTGAATATGTGGAGAAAATGGCTACAGAGTTTATTAAGTAAGTACAGATTACAATATAACTTTCTCAAAAGGACAAAAGGGTTTCTTATTAGTTGCCCACTGGTACCCAAAGGGGACTATGGTTTGCACTCCATCAATCAATTAGTCCAAAAGTCAATCAAACAGTCATTCTGTCAGATTGTCTGGGGCATACCATAAGTGACTACCTCATGAAATGGCAGGGTTGATCATATTCAAATTGGGGCGCATGCAGATTTTATACTGAATATTTTATATCGGCGGTGCAGAACTAAGGATTGCTGAAAATACCTTGCTTTGTTTATCCAATTGTTTGCTGATATATGGCCTGTAAATCAGCTTTTGATTTTACTCTCTGTTTGTATACATTAATGCCCCATATTATGTTCAGTGGAAAAAACAATTATGTGCCAGAAATGTTTAAATCAAATTATATTCACAAATAAGCTGGGGCTGTATACTGTAAAAGATGTGCATTGATTAGGTTGCCTTACATGCGTTAGCTGTAGGAAATTTCCTAACCCGGGTTTCCTCGGGCCCGCTGACACCAGACTTCGGCATTTTGACAGAAAGATGTCTGGTGTGGACCCACAACAGACATCTATCGGTCAAAATGTCTGGTGTCAGGGCCAGAGGAAACCTGGGCTAGGAATTTCGCTTTAGCTCAGCTGTAGAGCGTCGGGCTGGAGAGCCAAGGGTCTCAGGTTCGAGCCCAAGCGACGGCACTTTCTTAATCACTTTTCCTCGCCCTACTACAATACAGTAGATATCAAAGTATTTCTGTATTTGTAAGAATTTGATAAAATATGACTGACACTACAGTGCTTTAACTATCAGTCTACATCTAGACAGAATGACTTCCTATGTATCAGGTGTCTGTTACATAAATTGTTAATGTTTTTGTTTTCTGAGTCTGGTATCCTGTTTTATTATTTGTTTATGAAAATCATTGGATACCTCTAGCTTGCTGCTATGTATAATTACTGAAGGTTATGCTACAGGGGCTCGGTGTCAGGATTTTGAGTAATATATTACCTAAATCGTAATCCTTTCGGTTCATGTGTTTGAAAAAAGGGGGGAATAGTGTAAAAGATGTGCGTTGATTAGGCTGCCTTACAAGCGTCAGCTGTAGGGAATTTTCCTTTAGCTCAGCGGTAGAGCATCGGGCTGGAGAGCAAAGGGTGGCAGGTTCGAGCCCCGGCGACGGCACTTTCTTTATCACTGTTCCTCACCCTACTACAATACAGTAGATATCAAAGTATTTCTGTATTTGTAAGAATTTGTTAAAATATGATACATGTTTTTATGAGATGTTTAATTCAGAGTTCATACCTTAACACTTGCCATTACTAATATTCCTCAGGGAATTAGAAGATATGAATTTTTACATACTTTCAATCATAACTTATATTTCTGGTAATCTTGAAAACTTCCTGATGCAATAGGTCTAACACCTACGGCTATTATCTGATTTCATTTTCAAAAATCAGAAAACTACATGAATCAGTCAGTTAATATTACCTCGGAAAACTTGCACTTGCTGTTAGCATTATGTGTTTTTTATTTCAGAATGGTTACTGATTTTGAATACTTGGAGAAGAAACTTCCCATCTTTGACTTGTCACAGCTGAAGGTGAGTCTGTACAATGATTTCATTTTACGGTCAGTCATTGAATGTTATTGTCCTTGACAAGCTTCATTTTGTTGTTCAAATGTTTATGTTTTCTGAATATTATCAAAATATTAATATATGTTTTTTACCCAATTGTCAAAATTGGAGAACACAAAATTGCATTACTAGACATAGAATCGTACATCTGTTTCAGTACAAAGAGAGGGATTTCTTGGAGAGTATTTTCAAATTTTGGAGAGTTTCTGACACAAAATTCTTTGATGCAGAAAAAGTCTGGTAAGATTCACATTCACCCTCCATATGCCAGTTATATATGTTAATTAAGGTTGTCAAATAAGGAACTGATTGAAGTCAAATTACAAATAATTAAAAAAGTAATATTACATCATATATCACATGTATTTATAATAAGGCTAAATATGGAAATTAATTACCTATATTTCTATGAATTTCAAATGACCTTGCTGCCATTTTCAAGTATTTTCTGTTTGAATTGAAAAGATGTAAAATGAAAAAAAATTACTATTTTTCGAAAATTCTTAAATACAGGGACTTGAGACTTCGCCAGTTGATGGGGAACAGATATGATAACAGACTCAACATAGTTGACTGGGATCTCAATATGAAATTAGTCTACAGAGATGTAAGTAACAACAATTAAACTGCTAAGGAAGTCAACAGGGATGTAAGTAACAATCATTACACTAATAAATAGGTCTTCAGGGATGTAAGTAACAAACATTACATCACCAAATAGGTCTACAGGGATGTAAGTAACAAACATTATGTCACTAAATAGGTCTACATGGATGTAAGTAACAAACATTTCACCAAGGAAGCCTACAGGGATGTAAGTAACAAACATTACACTAATAAATAGGTCTTCAGGGATGTAAGTAACAAACACTACACTAATAAATAGGTCCACAAGGATGTAAGTAACAAACATTTCATTGAGGAAGCCTACAGGGATGTAAGTAACAAACTTTACACTAATAAATATGTATACTGGGATGTAAGTAACAAACATTACACTAATAAATAGGTCTACAGGGATGTAAGTAACAAACATTACACTAATAAATAGGTCTACAAGGATGTAAGTAACAAACATTTCATTGAGGAAGCCTACAGGGATGTAAGTAACAAACTTTTACACTAATAAATAGGTCTACAGGGATGTAAGTAACAAACATTTCACTGAGGAAGCCTATAGGGATGTAAGTAACAAACTTTACACTAATAAATAGGTTCACAGGGATGTAAGTAACAAACATTACACTAATAAATAGGCCTACATGGATGTAAGTAACAAACATTACACTAATAAATAGGTCTACAGGGATGTAAGTAACAGACATTACACTACTTATTTAGTTAACAGGGATGTAAGTAACAAACATTCCACTAATAAATAGGTCTACAGGGATGTAAGTAACAAACATTTCATTGAGGAAGCCTACAGGGATGTAAGTAACAAACATTACACTAATAAATAGGTCTACAGGGATGTAAGTAACAAACATTTCACTGAGGAAGCCTACAGGGATGTAAGTAACAAACTTTACACTAATAAATATGTCTACAAGGATGTAAGTAACAAACATTTCACTCAGGAAGCCTACAAGGATGTAAGTAACAAACATTACATTAATAAATAGGTCTTCAGGGATGTAAGTAACAAACATTATGTCACTAAATAGGTCTACATGGATGTAAGTAACAGATATTACACTACTTAGTTAACAGGGATGTAAGTAACAAACATTATGTCACTAAATAGGTCTACATGGATGTAAGTAACAAACATTTCACTGAGGAAGCCTACAGGGATGTAAGTAACAAACTTTACACTAATAAATAGGTCTACAGGGATGTAAGTAACAAACATTACACTAATAAATAGGTCTACAGGGATGTAAGTAACAAACATTACACTAATAAATAGGTCTACAGGGATGTAAGTTACAAATATTCAATTCTAAGAAAGTCTAGAGATGTACAAACAACACTACTAAGTTAATCCACAGGGATGTAAGTAACAAATTAAATATTACACTACTAAGGAAGTCCACAGGGATGTAAGTAACAAGCATTACACATCCAAGGAAGTCCACATGGATGTAAGTAACAAAAATAACACTACTTAGTTAGTTTACAGGGATGTAAGTAAAAAGCATTTCACTACCAAGGAAGTCCACTGGGATGTAAGTAACACACATAACACTACTTAGTTAGTTTACAAGGATGTCAGTAACAAACATTTCATTACTAAATAAGTCTTCAGGGATGTAAGTAACAAACATTACACTACCAAGTAAGTCCACAGGGATGTAAGTAACAAACATAAAACTACTAAGTTAGTCCACAGGGATGTAAGTAACAAACATTACACTATCAAGGATGTCCACAGGGATGTAAGTTACACACATAACACTAAGGAACTGTCTTTATATTGACTATCATCGATTACCTCACAAAACTTTCACATTCTGTTTAAGTTTAACTCAACACATATGCACAATAGTCTGGATTTATAGCATATTGTTTACAATACATATCATAATCAGCAGCAGCATTGATGCATCAAAATATCTTTCAGTGGGGGAAAATTGAAGGGGACCCTTTGAAAAATTACATCATAAACTCCAATATCATATCTATATTGTTGAACAAACTAGCACAAACATTAGTGGCAAAGGGACCTGGAGATGACATTTCAAAATTCTCAACTAGGACTTGAATTAGATATGTACAAAAAGGATTTGTTACAATTCCTTAAAAAGATAAAGTACATAGGTAGCATAAAGACAACAAAATAAGTGGTATTGTACTTTACCTTGTCATCTTTGGAACAATAAATTGGACTGTTTCCTTGAATGAACCCATGTATACAAACACTAACTTGTTGACCAAAGTATTACACGGAAGTAGTACCTTACAATGGAACAAGACGCAGAATGATACTTTGTGTTGTTAAAGAACATCTTTTTATAATGTACATGTATGCTATTAGTTTATATCAGTAAAGTATAATGGGTATAAATACAGCACAATAAACACAATAGGTAGGTCAAGTAGCAACGTAGATAATGCACTCGCCTTTCAACAAGACGACCATGATTGGACTCCCCAGTTGGACAGGAAAAGGTGTTTGGTCACCTCAAGACCATATGGGTTTTCTCAGGGTACTTGTGTTTCCTCCCACATTTAGAACCCATGCACACATCTATCTGGGCCAGCAAGAGTGATTAATAAAGTTGAAAAGATTGTTTCATAATTGTTGTAAAATAAATGAAGTTTATATTATATACGATACTAAAATATCATTTAACAGGCTGACATCATCAACTCCCGTGAGTACAGGAAGTGGAGGAACCAGGGAATCGCGTTTGAAGTACGAGAGGGGAGTTATGACATCCCTAACAGAACACTAGCTTCAGGAATGGTATTCAAACATGTAAGTTTACATCAATTACGTAGAAAAGAACTTGTCAGTCCGTTTTATCTTTGCTAGTAACAACCTTCCATAAATGAAACCTTAACTGATCCATGATCGTTTTGACTAGGTATAATGTTAACCCCTATTGTCTACTCTCTTGAATTATGATGCTAGTGAGGCTATGTAATGTTTAGAATGTCATCAAAATACGTTTTTATTTTTCCATCGATCACTTAATAGTCAGTGACACAAACCAAATAAAAGTAACAATGTGAATTATTTGACATCTATTTACAATTCTTTCATTTGAGCATTGCAGCTTTCAGATGGCATTCAGATTCTACATGAATGACAAATTCCATAAGGGCACTAGTTAACATTACACAAATGAAGGCATGGCTGTACCTGGGTTGGGATTTTTTTTCAAAGATTTTCTGAAGTTCTTCATTTTATAAAACATTTATAAAGAAAATCAGGAAATACAAACTGTGTTCTGCAAGAAGCAGATTCATACTTTTTGAGTTTTAGATTTTGAATTTTTTTTAAATTTAATTTAGAAAATTAACACATTAATGTTATTGGTAATGGGGCCTGGAAGGGATATGACACATTGAACATGTCTTTTTGTAGAGTAGAGGTAGGTGAGCTAGCATATTGAGTCTGACTTTCTATGTCTCCACAGGAAGGGGAGCGGCACCACAGGCGGGGGTACTGGGGAGACATTCTTGTTAGTCCCTACGTCGCCCTCGGTATTGAGTGTGAGGACAAATCCTTCTTTAAGAAAAGCAATAACGTCTACATGAAGGTAAGAGAATTTTTATTATAATTTTAATGACATAACAATGTCTGTTATGTTATTGATGGTATTTGTTATAGTGTAAGCCTGAAAAATTAACTCATTCACCCCTGAAATTTTATAATGGACTATTCAAACTTTTGAATTAGAAGAGTTCAATTGTGTCTTCAGGGGTGAATGAGTTAATGACAAACAGTGAAACCAGTTTAATCCAAAAACCTCTGAGATCCAACAGATTACTAGAATTAAACAAGGTGCCAGAATTCATAGGTGTCACAAAGAACATGACAAGATGATGGAAATGCAGGGGTCAGATTATACAGGTTTTGTGTTTCTTTATTTCACTTCCTCCCAGTTGTTTGTACGAATCTTTTGTAGGATTGGATGTATAGGGTGTAACACGTCTTTACAGAGAGATGAGCTGTGACAAGCTCGCTTAGTATGTCCTCATTTGTTCATCATAATTTCCACTGCCAACTTTTCATTTTTTACATCAACTTTATTTTGTAAAGGAGCAGTAATAAGGTATGTGAAACGACTATAAACTTACCTGTATTAAAACAACACCAAGAAACAGCCTACATTTTATGTTGGATTACATGATTATATTGTTAAATATTTCAACCTGATTTAATGTAAATTCAGATTAAAATAATTGTTATATTTCATTCTTACTTGATTTTAATGAAATCTTCATCTTAAAATCTGTTTTTTGGGTGGGTTTTTTAAGTATTTGTTCAAACAAAATTATTGTGAATAAAAATTCCATTTTAACAAAAAGAAAAGAGAATGCTGAAAAAGAATTGACATCTGCTGAAATAATTGTCAAAATAATTTAGAATTTTTTGGAATCACATCTTACAAATTAATCTTCAGATTTTGAATGTATGGCATCACCATTTTATCGGGTTATATAGTGTAACCCGTAGCCATTCTGTACCATCCTATTGGCAGGGGCAGTTCTAGGTTTATTTGGAAGTAAACGTTTTCAGTGAGTTGGATTTGATGAATATTTTAGGCTTGCATTTACTGTAATGTGTTTTTTATCTACATGTTATATGGGAGGAATTAATTAATCTACAAACACTACACCCGATTGATAAAACAAACTGTCTGGTTTTTATAGGCATCTCAACACATAGCCGAATACAACATACTGTCGATGTTCCACGAGATCGCTACACAGACAAAATATGAGCCACCAAAACCACAGGATGACAAGTCTGAGAGCAAAGATTCCAAAGATGATGGCCCAACCATTACAGGTGAAACCTCACAACTATCCAGGTGTACAGAAATACATGCAACTCCTTGAGATGAATCTATTGTTAAAAGAAAATTGAACAGGAAGGGAAGATAACTGTGTAGTACAAAATGAAGATAATAAACACTCAAACTTTTATAGAGGTCCAGACTGTTTAGCAGATTTCTCACTGTAGCTTTAATAGAATTCTATATGGTCTTATCTTCCTTAAAACCCTATAGATACATCAATAGTTTAACTTTTGCGGAAAGAAAATGTGTGAGATTTACATAAATGTCATCTTCTTTGATAAAAGTAAAGCTAGTAAAATTAAAATTGTACAGGTATTGTGTCATAGCATGTGTGGTAGTATAGTGATTCACAGAATATTTGCAATTAGTATCAGCAGTTTAAGGACATGGGTTGTATCAATTAAACACATGGGTTGTATCAATTAAAGACATGGGTTGTATCAGTAAAAGACATGGGTTGTATCAGTAAAATACATGGGTTGTATCAATTAAAGACATGGGTTGTATCAATTAAAGACATGGGTTGTATCAGTAAAAGACATGGGTTGTATCAATTAAAGACATGGGTTGGATACATTAAAGGCATTGGTAGTATCAATTAAAGGCATTGATAGTATCAATTAAAATATGGGTAGTATAAATTAAAAATATGGGTAGTATCTATAAAAGATATGGCCAGTATCAATTAAAGGCATTGGTAGTATCAATTAAAATATGGGTAGTATCAATTAAAGATTTGGGTAGTATCAATTAAAGATAAGGGTAGTATCAATTAAAGGCATTGGCAGTATTAATTGAAGACATTGGTATGATCAATTAAAGGCATTGGTAGTATCAATCAAATATATGGGTATTATCATTGGTTTGAAGACATGGGTAGTATCATTTAAGAACTCAGGAAGTATCAATTAATGCTTTAGGTAGTATCAATTAAAGGCATTGGTAGTATCAATTAAAGACTTGGGTAGTATCAGTAGTTGGAAGACTTGTGTAAAATCCATGTGAAAATATGAAAAGGGATACAATAAACAATAATATGTCCATGATGTCATTGTCAGACATTACAGAGGAAACTGAGGAAGATCTGAACAAGGATGAAGAGGCAAAGGAGACTGCAGAGGAAACATTGAAAAAGCTAGAGGAGGAAGCTGATGCTGATGCTGAGGAGCAGGCAAGAAAACAGCAAAGAGGCCCTGAGGTGTCGACTCTGGACCAGGAATATGGTAATATTCCAGGGGATGCTTGGAGTATATTTTAATGTCTATAGGTTAAAGGTCAAAGTTACTATATATAGTCTGTTAAATGGAGTTTTGTTGGCTTCATGGTGACTCTTTGCCGGTGGGATTGTTTTGAGGACAATTGATGACAATTGCAGGAAAATAATAGAAGCTAGAATGTTATTGATCTGCATTGATGATAACTGCTTTTGAATTAAAGGTAAAAGTCAGTTAAATTAAAATTTGATATTGCCATATTTTGCTCAGATTTCTTTTACTTGGGCATGATTTTGCATGTCAAGATGAATATTTAAAATATTTCTTAGTGAGGGAGAATATTTGTGTTCATTAAGATAATTAATAACAGTTCTATAGAATATACACCTCTCGAGAATTATAGTTCTGTTGTGTCCCCGTGCATCATCAAATGAGACATATTATGTGGGGCCCACTGTCCTGTCAAAATCAGATGTTTCTTGTGTGTCCTCTTATTGTGGGTACCAAAGGGCCAACATTGTTGTGCTGCCCTATTTTTAACAAAACCCGTATTTTTGTTTACCTACCCTCTCTTACTTTCTATGTGTGTCCTCCTTTAGTCACCTTACCCTATGTGTGTCCTCCTTTAGTCACCTTACCCTATGTGTGTCCTCCTTTAGTCACCTTACCCTATGTGTGTCCTCCTTTAGTCACCTTACCCTATGTGTGTCCTCCTTTAGTCACCTTACCCTATGTGTGTCCTCCTTTAGTCACCTTACCCTATGTGTGTCCTCCTTTAGTCACCTTACCCTATGTGTGTCCTCCTTTAGTCACCTTACCCTATGTGTGTCCTCCTTTAGTCACCTTACCCTATGTGTGTCCTCCTTTAGTCACCTTACCCTATGTGTGTCCTCCTTTAGTCACCTTACCCTATGTGTGTCCTCCTTTAGTCACCTTACCCTATGTGTGACCAGGTGGGCTGTCATGTTAACATATTCAAGTAAGGACACTACAGTATGCTTGCACTGTAAGGTGACCTGTCACTTCCCACCTGTGGATCCTATTGTCAAATGATCTCAAGTGTTGGCATGATTTAAAAAAAAAAATTAAACAAAAGCAATTTAATGTCAAGTTTGAAACATTATGTATAATGATTTCTGCTTTAAGTATTACTACCAGTGTTTGTATCCTCTCTCTTTTTGAGGGTAATTAAACAAACCTATTTACCTACTTCGGGCCATGTGAACTTATAATACCATACTGCGGCGTCCGTCGTCTGGCGTCCGTCCGTCCATCAACTTTTTCTTTTGAACGACTTCTTCTGAAGAACTGGAGGACATAGGGTCATGATATTTGGCCAGTAGGTACTTGGGATGTGCTATAAAGTTAAAATGACCTTGACCTATTTCAAATATGTTAAAAATTTCAAACAATAATATCATAAGAATCACTTGGACTAGAGTCGTGATACTTGGATATGTTATGTAGACCAGCATTGCAAATCATTTTCTCCATTACAGAAATGAGGTCAAAGGTAAACTTTAAGTGCTAGTCAGGGGTCAAAGGTCAACATGGGTTAAAAGCTTTAACAATCTTCTTCTCAAGTTCCATAAGGCCCAGTGTCATACTATTTGGCCAGTAGGTACCTGGGATGAAATGCTATAAAGTTTTCTCATTAAAATGACATTGGCCTAAAGCTTGGTTCAAGGTCACAGGGGCCAAATATGTTGAAAACTTCAAACAACAATATCTTAAGAACCATTTGGTCTAGAGTCATGATACTTGGGTATGTTATGTAGACCAGCTGTGTGAATCATTTTCTTTAAACAGTAATGAGGTCAAAGGTCAACTTTAAGTGCTAGTCGGAGTCAAAGGTCAACATGGGTTAAAAACTTTAAAATTCAAATTTCAAATTTCAAACAACAATATCTTAAGATCTGTTTAAGAGATGTTAAAATGTCTTATGTTCTAGTTACCAAATTTGGTTGAAGTTACCTATATGTCAGTTTCATGTAACAAAAGAAACAAGTGAGGGGTGCCAGCCCTCTGGGCCTCTTGTCATTCTGTTGTTTTTTAACATCAAGTTGGTATTATACATTATTTTTTAATCATTTAAAAGTAAATTTACCTTTAAATGGAATTCATTCTCAATTTTTTTATATTTATCTACATGTACCTCCAACAGGAATTCTTTGGTTTTTTTATTGAGTTTGTGTAGTTGGATTTCATTATCATTTCATTATATTTATCTACCCCAAGCTCAAATTCTTTATAACTTTAATATTTTATATACCTCCCGTTGGAATTCTTTATAACTTTGAGTGTTATAATAATACTTTCAGAGGCCTTGTCCGTGGACGGCGTAAAAGTAACGTTCCTGCCAATCAGTAGCCTGACTGAACTGTCAAAGAAGAGCAAGTACAAGAATCTGTTTCATGTGATTTACTTTGCCAACAGGTATGTTAAATGTTAAATAGGTACTCCCTTGCAGTACTTTTATATGATTTTGTTAATATTTATACATTAACAGACCTTTATCATCCATCACTGTTGTAAAATGAATCCAACATGTGTATGTATACATTTGTTTTTATAGTTTGGTGCACCTTTTAAAGGAAGATATATCACCTGTTTTTGCTGACCAAGCAACACTGATTCTGGAATCTGCCAGGTAAGCCACTATAATTATTTTTATTTCGTGATAAGTGTTTCAAGTGATCTTTTTTAAGGCATTAGATGGTTGACTGTGCTGGTAGACTATTAGTCCCAGATGTTGGCAAAATATTGTAGCTGGAATTTATTTTTGTAAGTTTGAGCATGAATTATCTGTATTAATTCAAGGTTGTAAATTTGTTATACTATAAAGGGGTTTTTTTGGGCCCCTTCCCCCTTTCCCAGTATTTTTACACATCATGTTTTGGAAAACTTTAGACCTGCAGTATCATGGATGAGTCCTAAATGGACAAATTGTCCAAATGCTGTAGTAAATGTTTACTTTGACTTTCATCAACTGATCAAATTTCTGAAAATGTTCTTCCTCATTTCCTATTTCTAGTCATTATTCCAGCTCCAAATTGGAAAATGTATTAAAAATGTTATATCAGCATTGTCTTTGTTCCGTCATAATCATTAGCAGATCTAGATTGTTGAATAATTTTACAAACAAATGATAATTATTTTCAAAATATAGGAGAACACAAGAAGAAAAGGCTCTCTGAAGTAATCATGTACCTGTTATATAATATTGATTTTAACATATTTTAACCATATCATAATTGATGTTACAAAATAAGCTTGTCGACTCTTTTCCTTGTATATGAAACTTCATACTGTCAGTGGAAGCATATCAAAAACTTCAACAACAAAAATCATTAAGTGAAAGTGTTTGTGATGTAGCCTCTACTGAGACTTGATTATTAACATCTTATACACCAGATATATCTAAACTTCTTATACACCATATAAATCTAAACATCTTATACACCAGATATATCTAAACGTCTTATACACCAGATATATCTAAACATCTTATACACCAGATATATCTAAACTTCTTATACACCATATAAATCTAAACATCTTATACACCAGATATATCTAAACATCTTATACACCAGATATTTCTAAACCTTTTCCTCAGGTTCGCCAGATTCTGTGATTCTGTACAGCTCTTTAAATCCACAGGTCAATATTTCACAGTTTCGTATTCAGTACATGTTGGCGAGGGTTAAGTTTTGCTGTGCACCCGAATCCCAAGGATATTGAGTGTCATCATTTAAGGGTTAAACCTCGAAATACAGGTAAACGGTATGAAAGCACTGATCCAGAGAGTTGTCATCCGCCACTGACTTCACTTGACGATAGAGACACCTAGATATATAGCTAGAATTACAAACAAAGGAAAGCCTGTTGTTCAAGATTTTAGCCAGGTACAGTATTTTAATGTAATCTTACAGAATACAATGATAGCAGAATAGGCTAAACTTGCTTTATGGTTTGCAGATATATGTTGGAACTGAAAACAGATCAAGTAGCTGAGTTTGGGAAAACAGTGACAACAATAGCAACGGATGCAGGGTGTGAGGTAATTAGTACAGTAATGAAGGCACCACTTTGATTACAATAGGATAACTCTTAAATCTCAACGTAGTTCCAGAGGATGGCCTCGTCATCACTCTCTTTCCTAACCTACCAATGACTGTAAAACTTATTTTTTCAGACTCTGTTCTTTTATTATTATCCGTCTGTTTGTAGATTTTGATAACTTGACATACATCAATCATCAATGTGGCAATATCTACTTTCAATTTCCAGGGACTTGTTTTATTCTGAGTGTAAATTTATTTCACGAACAGTTTGACATTTGTATAGTGTTTATGTGATGACACTATTTTTTTTTTTTAAATATTTCACATTTTGATGAATGATTCATTCTCATTTTCAGGCTTTTGGCACCAGTGACTTTGAGAAAGCAAAATTCTTCAAATTTTCTTACAACCGAAAATCCAGCTGAAGTTGCCAGAATGTGTGAATTCAAAGATGGCGATGCCTCACACAAAACATTAAGACTTGGTGCAATAGTGATTCACTCACGGCAAGCAAGGCAATGTTGAACAAAGTATTACTAACGAATGGTCGCTAGCACGGCTCCTTACACACTTGCCAGGAACAGAAAGGAGGATTTTGTTTGGAAAATATATCCAATGAATGTGATGACAGTAGAAGTTATTCATTCAGGTTTTCATTAATTTGTTAATAAGAATCTCAATGATGTGTATGTCAAAGAGCTTCTCATTGACTTGTGCGCTATAAAGATTCTGAATGATAAGTTCGTTATTTACTAACTTAATACAACTTGATGCACATCAGGCTGGAACAAATGGCTACAGTTAAGGAGTAGAATTCCACTATGGCGTAGACAGGAACAAAATGTTGTATGAGCTCTGATATGAATAACTTATGCTAGTTTCAATACAGACGCGATCATTGAATGTGAAAATGATGACACTGTGACAACAGAGATCCAGAATCCCTGTACTTATTGTTGACTGTGTATAAAACATGTTACAGTATTATATGTAAACTGCTTAGAGAGCTCCACCTCGAAACGAATTGATATAAAAACACAATGTGTTCAACTTGAACTATTTGTTTATTGTTGATTAGAATTTAAACAATGTAATTCCCATCCCTTCCAAGATGTTGAGGCCTCAAACTTACATATACTGTACCAGGTAAGTAAAAATGTGAAGTTGAAGATCAAAGTTAAAATGTGCATATACTGAATATTTAATAAGAAATATGTAATTTGTCATTTTTGAAAATGGGTGTACCTTTATATATATGGATCTAAGATCATGATCATGGCCTTTTTTGATGCCTCATACATACAGTAACCCATTGCAAAAAAAAAAGCGACTCATCAAACGGGGGGGTGGGGGGGAACAGATGTGGCAGGTGGTGCTTGCAACACTTACTTACCTTTAAGGGGGACCTAGCTTCACCTCTGTTTTTATCTTGGAGCTCATAATCCATCTCCATAGTTCCTATTTGTTGCCTTTTAAGCCTTAACCATCATCAGATGATGGGCTGTTCACAATCGCCCTCTGTCCATGGTCTGTCAGTCCAACTTTATACATTTCTTGTCAGCACTATTTCTCAGAAAGTACTTGAGGGATCTTCCGTAAATTTTCACATGAAAGTTTTCAATAGTCACTTTTTATGCATAGAAAATTTAAGGACTGAATGGAAATCCAAGATTTTGGCCATCTGGAATTTCGAGAGGTAAAGTTGTTAACACTATTTTCCGAAAGTAGGGATCTTTCTCAAATTTCACATTAAGATATGATAACTAATTCTTTTAAGGTAGACACAACTTCATATCATGATTATAATGTATACCAAGTTTCAAAGAGATCCGTTGAAAAATGTAGGAGGAGATTGCCGGACAAAATCAAATACTGAAATGAACAAAGGGCAATAACTTTTGGAAAAATTGTCGAATCAAAGTTCTTTTAAGGGAGACACAATTTCATATCATGATTATAATGTATACCAAGTTTCAAAGAGATCGATCGAAAAAAGTAGGAGGAGATTGCCGGACAAATAAAAGGTTACGCCGGACGGACGGACGGACGGACAACGCCATACCATAATACTCCCGTCAAATTTGGACGGGCGTATAAAAATGGTTGAGATCCCCCACCCTATAACCATATATACAATTGCTGAGTATAAAGAGAAAAATGCACGTATGCTTCCAGGATGGCCCTGGAGTCTGGCCCCACCCTTGGAGACATAGTCCCTGGGTCACAACTTTAAAATGGTTGAGATCCTCACCCCAAAACTATATATACAATTGCTGGGCATATAGAGACAAACTCATTCATGATATTAGAATAGACCCTGGGGTCTGGACAAACCCCTAGGGACCTAGTTTCTGAGTCACAGCTTGGAAACAGTTGAGATCACCACCCTATAACCATATATACAGTTGCTGTGTATAAAGAGACTAACGCACATATTCTTCCAGGATGGGTCCGGGGTCTGCCCCACCCTTGGAGACTTAACCCCTAGGTCATAACTTCAAAACGGTTGGGATCCCCAACCCAAAACTATATATTCAAATGCTGTGCATAAAGAGATGAATGCAGTCATATATAAGAATATACCTTGGCGTCTGGCCAAATCCCTAGGGACCTAGTTTCTGAGTCACAGCTTGAGATACCAACCCCATAACCATACATTAAATTGCTGGGCATGACAAATCTAACACAGATATGTTACAAGGATTAGCCTAGGGTTCTGGTCCATTCCTTTGGATCCTATTTGGAGAATAGTTTGCCATGATTGCTTAAATATCCAGGTGAGCGATACATGCCCTCTGTGCCTCTTGTTTTACGAAGTTATGGCCCTTTGTTGAAAATTTCCGGAAACTTTTTGTCCGGACAACTCCTTCTAAAGTTATGGTTCAATTTCAACGAAACTTTCCAGACATGATAGCTACAACCTGAAGTTGTGCATCCAGGTATTTTTCTTTTCGTTCGTACCCTTTTAACGGAGTTATTGCCCTTTGTTGAAAAATGCTTGCCAGCACAACTTCTCCAAAACTACTGGACCAATTTCAATGAAAGTTTTAAGATATGATGTCTACCACCTTAAGTTGTGCATCCAGGTATTTTTTCCAACACTTTTTTATGGCCCTTTGTTGAAAAATCCTTGTCCTGACAAGGTTTCCTAAATATAATGGGCCAATTTCATGACGTTGTGCATCCAAGTAGTAAGTTTTTCATTCTAACCCGTTCAAAAGGATTAATGCCCCTTTGTTGAAAAAAATGGTCTACCTCCTAAACTACTAGGCCAATTTTGATGAAAGTTTACAGATATGGTAAGTGCCCCCTGATGTAGTGCATCAGGGTAGTATTTTTTCATTTCGACCCTTTTTAAGGAGTTATGGTTTGCATGTATGTTTTGGCGTAGAGAGGGAGTACAGGAAGTATATATGTGAGTGACTTGTATATTTAAATCAGTGTACTGCTCAGCCAATAAAGACATCATTACTGGTGGGAGACTATATTGCTTTGACTTAGTAAGCCTTTAGCTTAAAGGTCTGGTTTATAAAGGAGCGGGGGTATTAGTTAGCCTTTGGCTTACAATTCTTAAAAAAATTATGAAGTAACCTTGACAACCTGGCTTAGATTAAATATCAAACCGAAATGATGTAATGCTATAACAGTGACATGATATGGAGATGTCGTAAAACACACATACTAAGTAAATAGGATTTTTAAATTTTATTTTGCAATGTATGGGTATTCAAAAGAATTTCTGGCAAAGTTCTCTATGGGCAGCAGAAAATTAAAGCTAAAAGGAGAAATAGGGTTAATACTTCTCTTCAAGTGCAGATGAAAGGGTTTTAACATCATTTTGCATGAAAAATCCCTGGACCAATGAAATTCAATATTGAAAATGTGAAGGGAATGGCAACCTTCGGTGAAGTGATTGTTTAAAAAGAGATATAGATTAATCTTTAATTAAAAGACCACTCCTTAAATATGGATGAATAGATTTTCACCTGTTTTTACCTACGGACTTAATTATTCCTGTTCATTCCAGCAATAGGGCTTTCGATACACTTATCCGTCTTTACTTGGTCTGCACAAGGGAAATGTTTGTGGACATGACCTCAATGGGTATCACAATAAGACTTCCAGTCGAGTGTGTGGCGTGCCATATTTGACTGGAGTTTTTCAGTGTGATGAACCCATTTCTAATCATTAAATACGTCTCATGATTGTTTCGTTGCCATAAAGCAAGGTTAGAAATTAGCTCTTGTCACCTTATGCAAAGTGTCTGCCGAAGACCTGTAGGTTTTGTTCCAACCGCCAAGGCTGTACACCATACACCAAAACTATTTTGACACTGGAGTTAATTTGAATTGCTGTACTTAAGTCTTTAGTTGAATGTTGAACCCTGAGCATAGTTAATGCATTTCGGGCCTAGGAAATCATTTCCTTGATTTCCTCCTCTGTTCCAGAAGTCTTGCTTACAATACTCCAAACTCTGAAGATTTCAACTGACTCCTACGGGGCTGATGCACAGGAGCAAGCCCTGTCAATAGACAGACGAGACTTGTACATGCGGCTGACGTACTACTGCTGACCACATCACTCAGTCTATCCTAAGCTATACAATCCTTGACCTGCAGCCCGTTTACGCTGTTAAAAGTCGTGACAAGTCCGCATTGTGGTTGACCTGGCAAGTGGACCTTGTACAGACTTCTGGTCAACCTTTAAAAAGAACTTTAAATCCAATTTTTATGACACTTTGGCACAATCGGCAATTTTTTTTTGGTTTTGGATTTCGTTTACCGTTAAGTGAAGCAATTACTATTTAATTATATAAACACGTTTATCTTATATAGTTACTGCATATATCCATTATGCTCATGCGGTGAGAATGTGCCTGTCTCTTTCCTTGTACCGTCTTGTTAGTGTTGGTCTTTCTCAAGGGGTTGCCCTGTTATATTATACACATTTCTCTAAGCCATTCCTCCTACCACATCCTGTGCAGCAGTTGCCGGGTAGACCTCGTTCGTCTTTTCCTTTTGATTTCTCTATTTTACTGTTGGAATTGTTGTCCGTAGAAGGGGTTTTATTTGCGTTATAGTCTTGGTTTTGTACAGCCTTTCTTTAACTTACCTTCCCTGCGTCTGTGATCCTTTTGAAGAGATATTGCAAACTTTTCCCGTTGTTCCCGTGGACGAAATCTAGATATGTCGTACTTTATGAAACTGTACGATGTTTGTAAACTTCTGGAATTTTGAACGAAATCATCCTATAACCACACTTTCAATTAATGGTTCCCATTTCATCAAGAATTTACATAACCTCTTGAGGAGTCCGACCCCCTTGTTCTCTGATTGTCATGTGAATTTTTATAAACCAGAATAGAGATTGTTTTTATATGTTTTCCCCCTATTAACAGCTAAGATAATCGAAGGACGTGCCTCCATGTGTGCAATGTATGTGCGTATGTGTGCTGGAGACAGGGTATGTTGCTGTATTTCCCTCCTTGCTATAGCACGGATTTGACGCAAACTACATGGTGCTACATGTACTACACTGAACAATACAATGCCGATGGCACCCAGAATAACATTCCACCGGCCACAGTATAGGGACAACGTGTGAACCAGTTGTTGTCATTTGTTGAATGTTAAGAAGGGAATAACAACTACCATTTTAAAGGATTTTGGTATGTCCCGGCATGAGATCAGAACCCATCGCATCCTTATATTTTTACCTCGGCAATCATCCAACACTAAATCCGAAAGTGAGATATTGCCAAGGACGGCACCAGGAAACAAAAGATAGTTAAAAGTAGAGAGAAGCATAAACATCCCATGGGCGCAGCATACTTATAATGGTCGCTTTGGTGTCCCCAAGTAGAAGGCGCAAAAGTAAATCTCAAATCTGCAGTGGGGTCTCTCAATAATTGCCTCTTACAACACGCGGCGAGTAACAACCGGTAATTCCCGACCTGCAGGGGTCTAGAATAGAGAAGTTGATTACAAATTGCCAAGGTAACCTGTTAGAAGGTTTGTTGGCAAATCGTCACCTTGTTGGGATTAACCGTCTAGATT